CTTTTAACTAGCACCTGTCGGTTTTGGCAGTGCTTTTAGCTGCAAGTCTTTTCTTTTTCAAGGCCCCTGCACAGAGCTGTTCCCACCTGCCTGGGCAGGGAGCTCACAGCAGTACACGGGGCACAGGAGGTTCATGAGCAAATCCCTGAGGACAGAGACCCAGCTGCTGGGTTCTGAGGTGAGGAAATGTTGGATTAGGCCCTTTTCTGACTCAGAGATGGGGTAACTGAGAGGTGTTTTAAAAACTTTTATTCTGTTTTCAGTGTCGTGTGAAGGGTGAGACAATACAGGTGTTATAATTCATATTATCACAATTAGAAGCCAACTATTTCCTAATTACGATACATTATAAGTATTTCTTAATAGCTTTTACCACACTCTACTATAAATACCTTAAAACTAATCATCTAAGATTACTCCTCATAAGTCCTACTACAAGATATCTTTCATAGTTCTAGTTATCCAAAGTATTTTGTTTTATTTACAAAACCATCCTTTGAAAGGATGGTTATTTCTAGTTCCATCTAGTTCCAAAGGAAGGAACTTATTTCTAGTTCCATTTCTCTCTCAACAATGTCTGTCTTATTCCATAACATTTCTAAGCCAACATTTCTTATCTCAAAGTTTGCATACAAATGCATGTTATGTGAACCTTCTATGAAACTTTAAAGAATTTTCTACAAATCCATTTCCCACAAGGAAAGAGTTTATCTCACTCAAATCACCCAGCAGTGGATGACCCTGCAGCTCTCTCTGAGCACAGATTGGTACCCAGTGCCACCAGCATGGCAGGGACACCTCCATCAACTAAACCTTGAGAAGACATGGCTGAGGTGTTGGGAAAGATGAAAGTTTGACAAGAAAGTTTCACAGCTTGGCAGAAAGATTTTTGAATGTAGAATCTGAAGAAGGAATAGAGATAGAAGTAAGTTTTGATACAGAAAAATAATAGATGTGTAAATTGACAATTGCTGAGCCAGCCTTGCTGGACAGCTAAGAAAGCAAAGGCTGTGTCGAGTTGCAAAGAGATTTTATGACTTAGAGCAAAGGATAAGCTGACCACAAACAAGAAGATGTTTTTACCAAACAGAGAGATAGCACAGGCAAACAAGATTATTGATGTTGCAAGTAGAAAAAAGGTCTCAGATTTATCTACTACAAGAAAACTGAAAAACAACTTCTAGCTTAAACTGTAATGCACTAACTTTTAGTTATTGGAGAACAGTAACATGAATATGGTAATTATGGTAGTTATGATAGGCTATAGATAAAAGTTAAAGTATAAATTGGTTCTGTATTAAGATGCTCAGCAAAGAAAAGTCTATAATTCATTGTAACAAAAATTAAAGGCTTGTTTGCAGCTGGAGCTGACAGCTGTGGGCACAGCTCTGTCACCCTCAACCCTGTACTGCTGTGACATCCTGGGTACAATAAACTGCATTTTGGAGAGCTGCCTGGAGTCCCACATCTCTCATTCAGGTTCTTACACTGAGGGAGCCTGGGGGGCTCATTCCTGTCTGTCAGTGCCTGCAGGGAGGGCTCAGAGCAGGGCCCAGGCTCTGCTGGGCTGGGCACAGCAACGGCACCAGAGGAACGGGCAGAGACCTCACCTGGACATGAGGAAGAATTTCCTGTGCAGTGACCAAGCACAGGATCAGGGACAGATGTGCCCACCAGTGGGGACAGACAGTGGAAGAGTCGAGACAACAATTGGGAACCAGCTGGGAACTTGAATATCACATTTCCATGTGTCCAAGACCATGAGTAAAAAGGGATTTAACAGAAACAGAGGGATTTAAATACAACATTCCCTGGAACAAGACATGACCAGGGGACTGCCAGGCCTCACCAGTGCTCTTCCTCAGGAGCTGCTGCCATTCCTGGCCACCAGCAGAGCTTCAGGAGGACTTGAGCTCAGCACAACATTGCAAATCCATTCTCTGCTCTGGGTTGACCCCAAAGTCAGGGCAGATCCTCAAGAGCTAATTGGAATTTCTGTGTGACCACAAGAACATTGCCAGTTTCTTACTGGATTGCCCAGAGAGGGTGTGGGGTCTCCCTCACTGGAGAAATTCCAGAACCTGGGTACAACCCTGTGCCCTGAGCAGGGAGGTGGCACCAGATGAGCCATGGTGCTCCCTTCCATCCGACCCAACCTGTGGGACTGAGATGGCCCCACACACCACACCCTGAGCACGGGGACAAACCCTGGCCAGGGCACAGTCAGCTGGGTCAGCTGGGGCTGCCCATGGCCCAGGACATCCACTCTGTGCAGCCCAGGCAGCTGGGATGGCTTCTGGAGGGGGCACAGCCCTGCCCCTGCTCCGTGACCCCAAACTGCCCCTGGCTGCCCTGCAAGAGTCAGGGGAGCTCAGTGCAGAGCAGAGAGGGGCTGCAGATCCAGAGGGGCTCACACAGAGTCAGGAGGACTCTGGCTCAGTTTGGTGATGCTGCCACAAGGGGGAAAAAAAGGACTTTATTGTCTCCTTTACTGTCTCCTCTGAGGAGTGCAGACAGGCACTGGAAGTCAGCACTGAGCCACCACCACTGGGAATGGAAGTTACCCTCAGAGTAAGCAAGGGCAGAAATTATGTGGGATTTCTTGTGAAAAGCAGCTTTTTAAGGAGTATTTGAATCAGCATCTGCTGCTCCAGAGAGGTGATCCACAGCAGCACCAGCTGTCACCATCCCCAGCTCCATCCCCTGTGTGCAGGATGGCAAATGCCACCAGCGAGTCCACAGTGGCACGAACTCAGAGTGGTGACATTTGCTGCTCTTTATGCACTGCCAGAGAACTTTTCACACTTCATCTCCTGTCTCCTGTGAGATGGTTTTGGAGAGCTCCAGCAGAAATCTTTGCTGCCAGGCTGGGGCTGTGTGCTGCCCTCCATGATGAGAAAACACCTGGGATCAGCAGCAGCTGGAAATTATAGAGCCTGACTTTTTCCTAGCAGACTTCTGACCCCAGGGCACTTTCCTAAATTTTCTAATCCCAGTTATGAGGGCTGAGGTGTACAGAATGGTGTCCCAGGAGGGCATAAGGCAACTGTATGTTCAGCTGTAGAGAGGAGGAAAGGCTGAGGACATGGAAGCAAACTGCAAAGGAATGTGTGTGGTCAGCACAGGCAGAGCAGAGCACACAGGTGCTGCACAGGATATTTGGGACAGAAAATAATGGCAAAGAGGCTTTTTTCTCTAGTCTAGCAACAGCTTCTGGCCCATGGATGGTGTGTCTCAGTGTGTCTGTACTCCCCATGGCTTTCCTGATGATGATGTGATGGCCACTTCTCTAATGACTGCAGCAGGACACAGACATATGGGAGCCCAGCTTCCCCCAGTGGCAGCCCCGTGGGCACAGAGATTTCCTGATAAATGAAATCACAGGTTTCATGTTTTCTGAAAGGTTTAAGTGCCACAAAAGGAAGTATCAAGTTGGGATCCACAGGCCTGGAAAAGTGATGGATTACCCAGATGGATCACCCTTCCTGCATCCCACTACTCCTTCCTTGCCCTGGGATGGGTTAACACCAACATGAGTGGTGGTGACAGGGACAGAGGAGTGACAGGAGTGTGGGGACAGAGGAGTGACAGGAGTGTGGCAGTCCCAGTGTAAGTGCCTGGACAGACACCTGGACACACCTGCCATGTGCTGGAGGTGCTGAGCAGAGGCACCCACGTCTCCATCAGCATCCCTGCACTCCCAACCCTTTGGGCCACATGCAGGCTGTAGGAAAGGGGTTCAAGGACAGCAGCAGGTTGTCCCTGCTCTGCCTGGCGGGAGGACACTGCCACATCCCCTTCTCACTCCCAGTGGGAGTGAGCACTTGTCAATGGCTTCATTGACAAAGTGTGCTCAATGTGACAATGTGGTCACGCAGGGACTGTTCCTGCTCCCTGGAGTCACAGAATTCACAGAATTCACAGAATCGCTGGGTTGGAAGAGACCTCAAAGATCACCAAGTCAAATCCAGCCTCAATACCTCAATTAACCCTGGCACCCAGTGCCACATCCAGGCTTTGTTAAACACACCCAGGGATGGGGACTCCACCACCTCCCTGGGCAGCCATTCCAGAACTTTATCACTCTTTCTGTAAAACACTTTTTCCTAATACCCAACCTGTATTTCCCTTGGTGCAGCTCGAGGCTGTGTGCTCTGGTTGTGTCAGTGCTGCTGCAGAAAGAGCCCAGCCCCAGCTGAGCACAGGCACCTTTCAGGAGCTGTGAGAGTGATGGGGGCAGCCCTGAGTCTCCTTTTCTCCAGGCTGAGCACCCCCAGCTCCCTCAGGGGTTCCTCACAGGGTTTGTGTTCCCATCCTCTCACCATCCTTGTTGCCCTCATCTGGATGTGCTCCAGTGTCTCAGTGACCTTCCCAAACTGAGGGGCCAGAGCTGGACACAGGGTTAAAAGGCAAAACATCCCTTGTGTGGATGGGCACATGGTGGGAAAAATCCTCTGCTCCCAGCACTGTGTTTATCTTCTCTATTCAGTCTGCTGTTGTAATTTTTGATAAGGCTTTATTAAATCTTTTTTAAATGTTTGAAAATATCATTTCTCACAAGTATCACTGGGGAAAGGGAATCACTCTGCCCCCGAACAACTTCTGTAATATTTTGTTACTGCCAGCCTGAAATGTCTCAGATGCTGTGCCGTGTGACCCCACGGCACAGATTCATCTCTTCGCACGCCATCCAACCCAAATAAACTTCAGCTTCGCTTTGGAATCGATCTCCAAATCAAGGAGCTCTGCTGCTCCCCTGGGCAGCCCACCCACCCTCCCGCAGGAATGTCACCCTCCCGCAGGATTTTAACCCTCCCTGGCCCACTCTCCTTCCCCAGCCGTGCTGGTTTTGCTCGAGCAGCTTCAGGAATTAATTCAGGAATTAATTCAGGAATTCTCCCTCTCCGTGTGCTGTACAGAGGGTGCTTTGCCTTCCACCGCTCCTGGGATGGAACAACCCGAAACCCGAACCCCTGTGCTGCCCAGAGCAGGGGAGGCAGAGCAAGCCATGCTTATCAAACCCTGCTGCTTTAAACAGGCTGCAGCAAAGCCACGCTATGCCTCACGTCACCGGGGAGCAAAAATAGCCGGCACGAGTGGAGGGAGGGGAATGGGAGTATTAAGAGCGCCCAGATTTCAAACATACTTGGCTGGCAGCACGCTCCTTTCCTGCCCCTGCCGCTCCAGATGCGACAGAGCTCTGGGATCTCTCACTCTCTGCCCGTGAAGAAGGATTCTCTTCTTTCTGTTTTTTTTTTCTTCTTTTTCCTTCTTTAAGTTTCAGCTTTGATACTACTAAATAGGTTTTTTTTTTTATTTTTATTATTATTATTATTATTTTCTTTCTTATAGGAAACTTCATCCGCCGGATTTAAAAGCAAGGTTTGAGCAGGAGAAATTTGTTTCTGTTTACAGCTGTACATATGCATGGTATACTCCTGTGGGATGATATCGTAGAGGGGAAGGCAAGATTGGCTGGGAAAATCGCCTGCACCGTAAGATGCTTGAATGGCTGCTTGGAATAACAAGCTCTGTGTTGTGTGTGCATGTGTGTGAGTGTTTGTGAACCAGAGCAGCAGTGATGGTAACTTTAAAATTATAAAAGGGCTCCCCATTTGGCTTAATTTTCCTCTTCGAGCTCTGTCTGGAGATGGGTGAAGTGTCTGAATGGAATTGGTGCTGTAGGGATTTTATGAATGGAGCAGAAGGCAGGTTCAGCAGAAGAGGAGCAGAGCAGGGAAATGCAGTGGGCTCGGCTCTCTCCAGCAGGAGCTGTCACTCCAGGGAACTGCACAGACAGGCACAAATCTGCCACAAGTCCCTGGGACACCAAATGAGGCAGCTGCAAGGAGGCAGCCCCTGAGCCTTGGAAATATGCTCCTGAAAATGAGCTCTCACCAGCACACCGAGCCCAGAGCTGTGTGTGGGACCAGCTCTGGGCTCAGCTGGAGCATCCCAGGCAGAGCTGCTCATTTCTGTGCCCTCCTGCTGGTTGTGAGGCTGAGGAGCAGCCACAGCTCCTGGAGCAGCTGTGTCTCCTTCGTGGGAGTCACTGTCACTGCCAGCTCGGACACCAGCACCGATAAAAGGAACAAAGGGGCAGAGGGACAGACTGGCTACACCTGCCCTACAGCAGGAGGGCACTGCACAGCACAGCAGGAGCAGGATTTGGGGTTGCAGGGTCCAAGAAATGGATCTTGATGCTGGTGAGGCTGTGGGGACCAGCCCAGAGCAGCAGTGTCCTGAAGGAGCACAAAACCACGCTCATCTCTCACCTGTACTCGAGGGCTTGGGGTGGGAGATGGGCACTGTGTGTTTTTCTGGTTTTTTGTATTTTTATTCCAACTTCTAAGTGAGGGAAAATCTCCCTCTGCACTGGACTGTCCTCTCTTATCCAGAGTTTTTTTATGACACCTCTGCAGATGGTAGTGGGGAGAAGGTGAGGGAAGTCACGAAGAGGATGAAAATTGCCCATCCTCAAGGGTCACAGAGGCCACTGACAGGGTGACACAAGGGCAGCAGGGGAGAGCTCTCCTGCCAAGGAGACAGTGGGAGGAAAGAGGCGAAGGACTCAGAGCTGGGGAGGAGGGAAAGGGACACCCAACTCACTGGGAAACGCTGCAAATTCCCAGGGTTAAACAAATCCAGCCTGCCCAATGGAACAAGACAGAGGGGAGTCTGCCTGCTGAGCCCTACGAGGACAAGGCAGCCCAGCACTCTTCCCCCTCAGTGTTTCCCAAAGAAAAAGAGACAGTCTGAGTGCTCTAAAACACACAATGCAAACGCACTTCTGTTTGCAGGGATCTTTAGGATGGCACAGGCTTTTTGTATGCCTTAAAATCTGGGCATTTTAGCCACTTCTTCAGCATTTCTCTGAGGAAGGTTTGCTCCCTTTTTGCCTACACCCGGAATGAATTCAGAGCAACACAATCCTGATTTGTGCAGCGCTGAGCGTGAGCTCAGCAGAGGCTCCCACGTACAGAGTTGCCTCACATGGTGTCTCACACCTCGCTGCTCAAAGCTGCTCAGGCAGGTTCACACCAGGCTCTGGCTCAAACAGATCTGTTTTACAGGCACATGGACACCTCACATGGACAGAGAGAGTGAAAACCCCTGTGTTTACAGACACAGAAATCCCACAGGGAAACTGCACTTTGCTTTATGAAGTGCCTTTTCCTCCAGCACTCGAATGCTGTTTGAAACTGGAGGACAGAGGAGGAGCTTCTCATTCAAGGGAAGCTGCTCTGTGAAAACACTGCAGGAATGCTGGACAGGACTCTGAATGCATCACTGACACAGAACAGACAATTTGGCTGCAAATGATAAATCTAAAGTTTGTTTTCCCCTTTTCAGGGCCTTCTGCTCCTTCAGAGTTAAGAATGTGGCAAAGAGGTTTAAACAGTCATGCTGATGGTTCTAAATCATTGTTATAAATTTAGGAAGGATGTTTTTTTCCCTCCAGCCCTGAACTAAGGACTGCAGTAAGTGGTTCCAGTGATCCACACAACCTTTTTTTGTCTCTTTTCCATGCACACATCTCACAGCTGGGTGAGGTGAGAGCACAAGCCCTGCAAGAGTGGCCTCAGTGCCAAAGGCCTTTGGTACATTCAGGCAGTGCAGATATGTGCTCAGAGACAGGTAACTTCTAAATGAACTTTTGTGTTGCTCTGGCAGATTTCTAACACGTTGTTTTTGCTGTCTTTCCTCTAGTGGAGAATGCAGATGGTCCTTGGATGAGACACTGCTGGGAAATGGTTCCACAGTTCCGTGCAGCTGCGTTTCTCAGAGCAGAGAGAGCCCCCTCAGACCCCTGTGACATGAGCAAAGCCTCTGGCATTTAAACCCAGGAGGATGTCCCTGACTGACGAGCTGGAGAGCCACTTCACAACCCCCTCCATGGTGACAGACACAGGTGAGGATGGCGTGTTCAGAATCAGGCCCAATGTCTCATCCAACGGCACTGGGGACGGCACGTGGGCAGCCGGCTCCACAGAGGACATGGTGGCCATCTGCACCATCGGGGCCATCCTGTCCCTCATGTGCGTGGTTGGGGTGACAGGCAACGTCTACACCCTGCTGGTGATGTGCCACTACCTGCGCTCCTCCGCCTCCATGTACATCTACATCATCAACCTGGCGCTGGCCGACCTGCTCTACCTCCTCACCATCCCCTTCATCGTCGGCACCTACTTCATCCAGAAGTGGCACTTTGGGGACGTTGGCTGCCGCATCCTGTTCAGCCTGGACTTCCTCACCATGCACGCCAGCATCTTCACCCTGACCCTCATGTGCACCGAGCGCTACCTGGCCGTCACCCGGCCCCTGGACACCCTGAAGCGGTCGCGGGGCTACCGCAAGGTCACGGCGGGGGCCGTGTGGTCGGTGTCGCTGCTGCTCACGCTGCCCATGATGCTGATGGTCACGCTGACCGAGGGGGGCAAGGCGGAGGGCAAGGTGAAGAGGATGTGTGCGCCCACCTGGAGCGTGGACGCCTACAGGACCTACCTGACCGTGCTCTTCAGCACCAGCATCATGGCCCCGGGCATCATCATCGGCTTCCTCTACACGCGCCTGGCCAGGACCTACCTGGAGTCCCAGAGGAACCCCCCCCACAAGGAGAAGAGCAAGAGGTCCCCCCGGCAGAAGGTCCTCATCATGATTTTCAGCATCGTGCTGGTCTTCTGGGCCTGCTTCCTGCCCTTTTGGATCTGGCAGCTGGTTCGCCTCTACAGCAGCTCTCTGCATCTCACCACCCAAACCCAGAAGTGCATTAACTACCTGGTGACCTGCCTGACCTACAGCAACAGCTGCATCAACCCCTTCCTCTACACCCTGCTCACCAAAAACTACAGGGAGTACCTGAAGAACAGGCAGAGGTCCCTCAGCAGCAGCAGTGGGTACTTCCAGAGGAGGAATCGTTTCCAGAGGATTTCAGGGAGATCCCTGTCCACCAGCAGCCAGCACTGCACAGAGACTTACGTCCTTGCACACGCTCCTCTGGGAAACAGCAGTGCCTGAAGGTAAAATATATCTCCAAGAACAATCAATACTGACTTCAATGTTGCTTTGATTTAAAGTGCACGTTGTGCAGGCCAAGCCTTGGCAGTGCACACATTTAGTCCAGAGGCTGTGCCGTGTGTCTGCTCTCATTTCTCCAGTGCCACTGATTTGATGCTAGCAGCACTCAGCTGAACATCTATCTAAATAGCCTTTCACTTTTTATCTTTATATTTTATAGTGGATGTCTCCTCAAGTAGCCATCAATAATGAAAGCCCATAACAGGGCCATGATTTTTAATACTATCAGCTGTCTCACAACGTTTAAAATTATGTTACCCCATGAATGGCTGTAGTTTGCTCTTTTTTCCTTTAGCAGTAGTGCTCAATTTGTAGTTGTATGAGGACTGAAGACAATGAAATAAAGAAAAAGCAGCTGATGTTTTGAAATTCCATGCAGTTTTGCATTTGGGGTAGGAGTGTTCAGTGTGGATGAGGCATACCCAGGGTTTCTGGTCCCAGTTTGGGTGATGCTCACAATTATTCTGCACTCCTGTCTGTGCACTGGGCTGGGTTCTCCAGTCACACAGGTGTGTGGAGTTACACCATGGTCCTTGTCAGCAGCACAGGCTTCCCATGGCAGTGCCACAGGCAGGGAACACTCAGCATGTCCAAACAGCCATGAGGAGCAGCATCATCTGCCCTGGGCAAGCATTTCCACCCTCTGCCCTCCTCCAAGGAGGAATTGGGCACCTCTGATGAGGCTGTCCTCAGGGCATCTGCTGGAAAACAACCGCAGCATCCAGCCTGAAGCACCAGACCTCCATCCCCAAGTCCAGGAGGAAAGGACAGAGGGAGAGGAGGGGGTTGAGGAGATGTGGTTTTCCACAGGCAATGTTCTCTGAAGTGCTTAATACTCCCAGCTGTAAAAGTGCTGGTTCTTGGTTAGGGAGACAACTTGTTCCCTTCACTGGAAGTGATTTTGCCTTTCAGCTACAAAAACATAACCCTGCTCACACCAATATTACAGTGCCTGTCCTGGCTTTCCCCAATGATGAGGCTTCATTAGAATATACATATAATCTGTGATGTCTGGAACTTCCCCAGTGAGTCAAAAATACCTTCTCTGGGATGCTGCCAACATCCCTACAGGAGTCCTCTGCTTGCAGCAGCCCTGCTTCCTCATTAGCAGGGATATGAGGATGCAATGCCAACACAGCCAAGCTACAGAATTAGAACCAAATGAATTCTGAGCAGCAAACTCAGAACTGCAGTGTGAAATCCCTCTGGCAGTGAGCTCTGTTTGCTTAGACTGAGCCTGAATTCAGAATTTAAACATCTATTCCCCTTCAAGGTGTTGATACGGTCACAGGGTAAGATCTGCATGCAGCCTCCCTGGGTAATACACTTGGACAAGTCATTGTCTCTTCCATGCATGGGCTTGAAGTTTGTTATGAATGGGGGAAGGTTCACACATGAGAGAGCGCTCTGGTGAATGCAGTTGTGCTGCTGAACTTCTGCTGGAACTGGAAGGAGCCTTGATTCATTGCCAGCCCCCTCCACACACTCCATCAGCAGTGCTCCTGGGGTCAGGGTGCTTTACCTGCTTGCTGTGCAGTGTGCCAGCAGCTCCCACTTCAGGATCAGCCCCTTCCTGATCCCAGAGAATTCACAGAATTACTAGGTTTAGAAGAGACCTTCAAGACCATCGAGTCCAACCCAGCCCCAACACCTCACCCAAACCCTGGCACCCAGTGCCACATCCAGGCTTTGTTAAACACACCATCTCCAGGGATGGAGACTCCACCACCTCCCTGGGAAGCCATTCCAGAACTTTATCACCCTTTCTGTAAAAAACTTTTTCCTGATATCCAGCCTGTATTTCCCTTGGTGCAGCTTGAGGCTGTGTGCTCAGCTGGGACAGGAATACCACAGATTTGGCCATTTCCTGAGCTGGCAGCACTTGTTAGCTTGCACATCATCTCAACTTGGAGACACATCAGTGAGAGCCCATTAGAGAGAGTGAAGCACCTTCAGCCCTCTGGGAGGGAGTGGGAGCCCATGGATGGGGTGAAGAGGTTCATTATGGAATCACAAAGACTGGAGATCTTCAGGACTGAGTCCAGCCATTACCATTAACCACCACCACCACATTAACCATTAACCACCACCATATTACCCATTCCCATTAACCACCATCATATTTACCGTTACCATTAACCACCATCACCACATTAACCATTACCATTAACCATTGCCATTAACCACCACCAGCACATGAACCATTACCATTAACCATTACCATTAACCACCACATTAACCATTACCATTTACCACCACCACCACCACATTAACCATCACCATTACTAGCACCACCTCGTTCACCACATGTCCCCCAGTGCCACATGCGCTGCACACATTTTGGACTCTTCCAAGGATCCAAGGATGGTGATTCCACACCTCCTTGGGCAGCCTGTTCCAATGCCTGACCTCCCCTACACGGAAGAATTTTTCCTAATATCAAATTTAATTTCCTGAACCCGTTTTCCACTTGTATAGTCAGGGGTTTAACATGAGTCAGAATGTAAAGTTTAGCCTCCTTTGTTTTTTTTCCTTTCAAATGGCAGTTTTAGTTTCTCCTTGCCCAGGAAGAGCCAGATAAGCCCAGGATGAGCAGTTCCCATGTTTGTGATGGAAAGCTGCTGCAGCCTGAGCCTTTAGAAAGCACTGTCCATCTTGCCTAAAATCAGACAGTCACAAAAGTGACAGGGGGTTTGCAAATCTCAGCTCATCCAGGCCTCACCCACCCATGCAGACAGTGCAGAAGCTACTGAAATACATTGGAGCAGATCTGCCTTCCATTATTCAGTCTGACCCCTTCACCCTCAGCAGCTCTGCTCTGATTTCTGCTCCAAACCCTCCCCAAGCAATCCATCTCACAGAAAAGCTTTGCAAAATGCCCTTCATGGCTCTGGCAGTGCAGGGAGCACCCTGAGCAGGGTGTTGAAGGCACAAGGCCATGCCAGAGATCAGGGAAAGGAGCTGGGGTTCCCTGTTTCCCTGGAAGGACACACAGCCTCAGCCCTTCTCCTTTGGAGCTTGTGCTGTCTCAGCAGGGGCTGGGGATGTGTTTGTCAAATCAGCACAACAAAGCCAAGAGGAAAGGCACCCCCAGGTCAGGGACTGGCTGTGGGTGATGCTCCTGTCGTCTCTGAAGGATGAGATGGGGATTCATTTCCCTTCCCACCCCAGGCTGGAGTTGGTTTTTGCTCCTTCAAGCACTCACCTCCTTCAGCACCCAGCTCAGGCAGCAATGAGGGAACAGCAATCCAAGCCTGCAGCTCTGAGCAAGGCTCTGAGCACTTCCCAAGCAGCTGAGTCCCAGCCCTGCATCCCAAACTAACTCTACAAAGCACCAGCCACGCTCAGACAACACCAGGGAGCTGCTGTCTGCCTGAAAGCAAAGAGCAGCTCAGCCCCCAGAGCCTGCTGGATATTAACAGGGAGCAGGAGCAGCAGAGAGAGCCAAAGAAGGAGCTGCCTCCTCCAAGACACAGATTAATTGTGTGCTTAGTGATAGCTGCAAAATTATTGTGCCCTGCTTATTCCTCCTTGCACAAACTCATCATCAGTCAAAGACCCAAGAGCAGCCCTTTGCATAAATTAAATCTGAAACTGGTGTGAAAGAGGAGTGTCTGTACCTGTGGCTGTGTGTGGTGGTGTTCGCAGGGGTCCTAGGATGAGGGAGAAGATGAGAATCTTGACTCCATGTTTCAGAAAGCTGATTTATTATTTTATTATGTAAATTCTGTTAAAAGAAAATGATATCCTAAAAGGATACTAAAAGAATAGAAGAAAGGATTTCATCAGAAGGCTTGAAAGGAATGATAATAAAATCTTGTGACTGTTCACAGCCTTGACACAGCTGGCTGTCATTGGTCATCAAGTAAAAACAATTTCACATGCTGGATAAACAATTCTCCAAATCACATTCTAAAGGAGCAAAACATGACGAAGCTGAAGCTTCTCAACTTCTCAGGAGAAAAGATCCTAACAAAAGGATTTTTCATAAAACATGTCTGTGACAGCTGTGGGCTTGCACAGCTCATACCTGGCTCTCTTTGTTCATTTTTCCCTGGGCCAGGAGTTCTGTCCTGATCCCAAATCCTTAAGTCCCCCCGTCTCTGAGGTGTTTGATACTCCACAGGCTGGAATCACCAGCAGAACTCCAGATAGCAGAAGCCAAAACACCAATTTTTTGCCCATTTAAGCCAGGAAGCATTAACAATATCTCAAAACTCATAGAAAGTGTAGTTGTAAGTAGTCCAAAGTTTCCCAAAAGCGCCAGATCAGTGCTCCTAGAGCTAGGAAAGGCCAGGTACCCACTCTGGTGGCTGAAACAGGCAGCAAACACAGCTGGGGCCAGGCAGTGCTCTCAGCTTTGCTCTTTGCCAGCAAAGGATGACGTCTATGTTTACCCAAATGATTTGCAAATCCACCCAGAAATTTAAGAATCCTTCTGGAAATTCTTTTATTTCTTCTTTTCCCAAATTCTGAATTGTCTTGTTCCAGCCTTTAGGAGGCAAAACAGCACAATTCCTCACTTCAGGATGAAGCTTTACCCATCAGTTTGCTTACACTTAATTTTAAAAAGCCTTTTTCCATTTTGTTCAGGCCACAGGACTTTTGTAAGAGTCCAAGCAGGAGAGCAGAGAGCAGCTGTGCCAACCCTGCCTGGACAGGGTGGTGCCCACCAAGATGCCACCCTGCCCAGTGCCCACAAAGGCACAAAGCTCCCTCCTCAGCTGCTGCTGGAGCCTGGGCTGAGCTCAGTTTGAGCCCCTCCTTGTCCCTGCAGCCCAGAGAGTGCAAGGCCACCCTGTCCTGCTGGGACATAGCCAGCCCAGAGCTCCTCAGCCTCCACAAAAACCTCAGCACAAGCTCCCAGACAGGCTCTGGGCAGTATTATGCACATTTTTGGTTCACTTGCAGCTCAAGGCTGGCTGGGCGAGAGGTGGGATTT